TTGGCTCCAAGATGTCCTGTGTCTGATGCATGAAAAAAGTAAAAGGACATTACTCAGCATCTTGCAAATCTCGTCCAAAAACCTGGAATCATAAAACACTTAAATTCAAGGCTCATTTAGCCCTAGATGTCATTATTCTATTGTTCGTTTTTATTTGGATGAAATTAACAATCAACAAAACAATGAAATAAACAAAAACAAAATGCCCAAGCTCTTTTATCAAACTTTTATGAAAGTATTGTTCTAATTGACCAAATTGACCAAAGAAAAAATTCAATTGATTTTGACTTTTGACTTTTGCCCTTTGATTGTCACATTTAGTCAGGTGTACCCTGTCTGACAAAATATTTTCATCACCCAACCTTGATTCAAGTCAAGTCGAGCTCAAGCTAAGCATAAACTTGGCTCAGCTCATTTGGAGCTTTAATCAAATATGCTTACAGATTCACATACAAGAAAGAAGCAGTAAGTGAGGACCGAAGTAAATTTGTAAATTAATTAATTGATAAGCATCAAATTATTGCGAGTTGCTTGCAATTAACTGACAAGATTAGCCTAAAAGTTAGCTGTAATCAGCATTAACCAAAAACTACCTAGAAATATCACCATTTAACAAGAATCAGAAAACTGTAAAAAATTTATTATAAGAAATATTATTATATATAATTTAGAAAAATAAAATAAAAATAATAGTTATAATGAACAAATTATTATGGGAATTAAATTAGTCACTCATCAATTCTTTCTTTTTAATTGCTAGAATCTAATGTTTATTAATCAATCCGAACTGTTAGTAATAATTAATGGATAGTAATTTCCAATTAATTAATATGTAATTTTTATTCACCTTTGTTAACCAAGAAAGCCAAAATCTAATGAACTATCATTAATTGTATAACTTTTAAAGCATTTAGATGTATGCATCTGGACGTGATTTATGTACTTGTTGCAAATCACTAACACCAACACCAACACTGCTGCTGCTACTACTACTACAATCATTACCATAAATTTCCTTATGTTTGTCATAAGCAAAGTCAAAAGGCTCTCCACTAGTTGGTCTTTTTGATGGATCCACATCCCAACATTTCTGCATCATTTGTGCATAATCATCAGGCATTTCTGGTAATATTGGTGGTTGTAAACCCTCACATATATCAAAAATTAAACAATGATCATGAGCTCTATCATCAAATGATGGATGACCTGCAAATATTTCCCACATTAACATCCCAATGCTATAGATATCAGATTCTTTTGTGTTCTTTTTTCCCCTAAGTAGCTCAGGTGCAACATATGATACAATTCCATAGACTTTATTTGATGATTTTTCATCAACTGGTCCACATAATCCTAAATCTGTAGTATAACAATTACCTTCTTCCACAAGTATATTACCACTATGTAAATCACAATGGATTAAATCTTTTTCATGTATATCATATAATGCATTACATAAACAATCAATGATTGTAATTTTGTCTTTTAATGTTAAATTTAAATGATTTTTTTTCAAATAATCTCTTAAATTTCCCTCTGGTGCATAATCTAAAACTATTGCATAATTTCCATTATCTGAGAATTTAGTTATACCATGACAAGGATTAATTACTTGTGATTTAATTTTACAATGATTCATTGCCTGAAATTGAATATAAAATCCAATTAGTATTATATAATATGTACAGTATTGTTTATTTTGTTTTAAATGACAATTACCAACCTCATCAAAAAAACCTTTTCCTGGATTACTTGAATTATTTAAACTTTTTAATACTACATCTTTTCTTCCATAATAACTAAATTCCTTTTTATTTTCATCATAATCAACGATATATCCCCTTGTCCATGTAGCAGTATAAATTGAACTAAATCCACCCTCTGTCAACTTTGTTACTTCTTCAAATTGCTCAAAAGGTATCCATTCTAAAATATATTTTGGCAGAGATGATTTCATTTGACATTGTTGAATAAAATTATCAATTATGTTATCCCCAGATGTCCAAGTAGTGAAAAGACCCTGTAGTTGTAAAGTAATACAACCTTCACAAAATCTATCAGAGTATCTTGTTGTTTTACATTTGTTGCATTCTTTTGGTTTGCCAAGTTTATATGCTACATTATTTAATTCAACCCCATAAATAAACCATTTTTTACAATATTCTTTTTCATTCTCAAAAAGCTCCTTATTTTCTTCAACTAATGAAAAATAATAATCTTTTTCAGTTTCTCTTTCAGAATTGGCTATTGTATTATTATCCATTTCATTGCAAAATTTAAATACAAGCTCCCTTCTTTCTAGTGGTATTAATGATAATAATTTACTAAGAGACATTTTATGAAATAAATGTATTTATAAAATTTCAAACTCAATCAATTATTGTGTTTTATTGAATAGAGTAGAGAAAACAATATATTTTGTACTGGCTAGTCTGTTGTTCATTTATAATTTTTTTTTTTACACAACTCTTTGTATTATTTCCTTTTGCAGAGAGTTAATTTAATAGTGTGTAACAAACAATTTTCACGTACCTTTTCTGATAATTCAGATTTTAACTTAATTGGGAGAGAGGGTTTAATAGTTAAATAGTTTATTTGATACCTTTAAATTTTCTCTATCACAATTAACTAACAAGAGTAGCCTAAGAGTTAAACCATAATTGGCATTAACCAAAAACTACTTTGCAATATCACTATTTAACAAGAATCAGAAAACTATAAAGTTTATTATAAAAGATATTATTATAATTTAGAAATAAAAATAAAATAAAAAGATAAATAATTATAACAAATAAATTTATTTATATTAGTCACTCATCAATTCTTTTCTTTTTAATTACTAGAATCTAATGTTTATTAATCAATCAAATTGCTAGTAATAATTAATGGATAGTAATTTCCAATTAATGATAATGAAATTTTTATTCAAGGAAGCTAAAGTCAAAATTATTTGATGAACTATCATTAATTGTATAACTTTTAAAGCATTTTGATCTAGCAATCTCATCATCTAATATTCTACTTGTATGATATGCATCTGGATGTGATTTGTGTACTTGTTGCAAATCACTAACACCAACACCAACACCAACACCAACACTGCTGCTGCTGCTGCTACAATCATTACCACGAATTTCCTTATGTTTGTCATAAGCAAAGTCAAAAAGCTCTCCACTAGTTGGTCTTTTTGATGGATCCACATCCCAACATTTCTGCATCATTTGTGAGTAGTCGTCAGGCATTCCTGGTAATATTGGTGGTCGTAAACCTTCTTCACATATATCAAAAATTAAACAATGATCATGAGCTCTA